CTAAAAAACCCCACAACTATGCTTAACACTGATTGGGAACTTTATTATAAACAATCAACAGTCTACGTCATATATTTTGACTACATGAACTTCCCAGCACCGATTGCTGGCAGGGGTGGGGAGAGTGGCTGGGGAGGCAGAATCTCCCGATTTCTCGGCAGGCTTTTGTGGGCTTTTAATGAGGCTGGCATTTGTCGGCATAGAAACAACACAGAGAACATTCGTTCTCCCTGCCTCCAACGTGACTTCGGGGCTAGGCTGCGGCAGTAGGGTTGCCAGATGGTTTCTCAAAAAATACCGAACACACGTGCTAAAAATTTGTCGAGCACAAACAAAAAAACCCATAAATACTGAACACACGTGCTAATTGGCTGAGCAGGCCGAAATGGCATGCAAGGCAATGGGAAGTAGGGAAGCTGTTTTGGGAACGGAGTCCTTTTTGGCAGATTGTGTTGCCTGGAGACCCTTAGAATCCCAGCCCATCCTCTGAGAGAGAAGTGAAATGAAACGCCACTTAATTATTCATGTTTAGAGAGCACTGCCTCCATAACTCTAGAAACCAGTTGAGCACGAGGAAGTGGTTTCCATGGCAACCACAACCTCCCGAATACTTGTAGAACTTCCTCTGCAGTTGGTGGGGTTTTGAAATGGTGCTCACAATTCAGAGTGACGTACTGGGGTCCGATGTATTGTGGAGGGAGCGAATGAATGCCATCCTACTGCGGGGCGTGCGTATGTCGTTACCTTCCAAATCCACTTCTAATTAGGGTGAGTCTGGGGTACTTTAAAAGCAAAGGAAATTTGCCACACAACGGGCCTCGAGTTAGCACGAAAGAGTCCGACGCCCCGAACGAAACACACGTTCAGAACTCTCAATGCGGAAATGTTACGAGTTCAGAGCCCTGCATGTCTGCTTTCCATGCGCAGATACAAGTGTTGTGTCCTCGCAGGGCCCTGCTAATACACCTCTTGGTGCTGAGAGAGGAGGATGCAAAGTGTGAGTGACCCTGGAAGAGAGAGGCTGCATTGACTCCACCTTCTACTGGGATGCTGTGGCAATGACTGCCTGCTTGCACACGAGATCGCATGTACTCTCTATCCCAATATCTACATCATTGATGAAGATATTGAACAGTATGGGTCCCAAAACAGACCCTTGAGGAACTCCACTTGTTATCCCTTTCCAGCAGGATTTAGAACCGTTAACAACAACTCTCTGACTACGGTTATCCAGCCAATTATGCACCCACCTTATCGTGGCCCTATCTAAGTTATATTTGCCTAGTTTATCAATAAGAATATCATGCGAGACCGTATCAAATGCCTTACTAAAGTCTAGGTATATGACATCCACCGCTTCTCCCTTATCCACAAGGCTCGTTATCTTATCAAAGAAAGCTATCAGATTAGTTTGGCATGACTTGTTCTTCACAAACCCATGCTGGCTATTCCCTATCACTTTATTACCTTCCAAGTGTTTGCATATGATTTCCTTAATTACCTGCTCCATTATCTTCCCTGGGACAGACGTTAAACTGACCGGTCTGTAGTTTCCTGGGTTGTTCTTATTCCCCTTTTTATAGATGGGCACAATATTTGCCCTTTTCCAGTCTTCTGGAATTTCCCCTGTCTGCCATGATTTTTCAAAAATCATAGCTAAAGGCTCAGATAGCTCCTCTATCAGCTCCTTGAGTATCCTGGGATGCATTTCATCAGGACCTGGTGACTTGCTGACATCTAACTTTCCTAAGTGATTTTTAACTTGTTCTTTGTGTATCCTATCTTCTAAACTTACCCTCTCTCTGCTTGTATTCACTACGTTAGGCACACCTCCAGACTTCTCGGTGAAGACCGAAACAGCTGCCCTCCCTCACTTCAGGGAGGAAACAGCTGCCCTCCCTCACTTCAGCGGTGGCTGCATTGTGCGGGTGGGCGAAACAGTCCTTTTCTGTAGAGGGCTTTTGTTAACCCTTCCTCCTCCCCCCACTGAAAGGGGTCGTTCTGACAGGGAATCCGACGTCCCACCCAGCACGGTGCCTCCTGCCTCCTTCACTGCTGCGTAACTCCTGGCTGAGCTAGAGCACAGCTTTGGCTGCCTAAGGGGGGAAAGGTGAGAACTATGGTTTATCCGGGGCCAGATCTGGGGTAAATCACAAGAGCCATCCACAGAGCAAAGCGGACGGATCCCTGCCAGGGAGACTTCAATAGAGTCAAGCTCCTCGAGAGGCCGGGGAGATCTACCCCAGCTGTCTCCGAGAAGACATGAGAGAGGCCCACTCCCATTCTACAGCCACAGCAAAACTCCCCGGCACACGCTTGCCCGTCGTCACGTCTTTCAAATGCACCAGATGGTTGGGGGATCCCATGGCCTAATCCCAAAGAACTATCAGATTTCTCGGCAGGCTTTTGTGGGCTTTTAATGAGGCTGGCATTTGTCGGCATAGAAACAACACAGAGAACATTCGTTCTCCCTGCCTCCAACGTGACTTCGGGGCTAGGCTGCGGCAGTAGGGTTGCCAGATGGTTTCTCAAAAAATACCGAACACACATGCTAAAAATTTGTTGAGCAAAAACAAAAAAAACCCATAAATACTGAACACACGTGCTAAACATTTATCGAGCACAAACAAAAAACCCTCATAAATACCAAACACACGTGCTAAACATTTGTCGAGCAAAACCCCCCCCCCATAAATACCGAACACGTGTGCTAAAAAAACCCCACAACTATGCTTAACACTGACTGGGAACTTTATTATAAACAATCAATAGTCTACATCATATATTTTGACTACATGGACTTCCCAGCGCCGATCGCTGGTGGGGGTGGGAGAGTGGCTGGGGAGGCAGAATCTCCCGGCGCCGATCGCGGCCCCGCTTCCCTAGCCACTCCTCCCACCACCGCTAGGCTTCCATCCGGCGCCCAGCCGGCCGGTTAAACACTGGACACCTGGCAATCCTATTAGGCAGAGGATCCCGCAACCAGGCTGGTGCTAAATAAAATGCACATGAAGGGAGCTGGCTGGCTGGGGAGACAGAACCCACCCAGGCAATATTACTCGGTTGGGAGTCTTGGCTCATTTCACTGCGGTCCGTCTCCCTGCGGGTACTAGATAAATACCGAACACGTGTGCTAAAAAAACCCCACAACTATGCTTAACACTGACTGGGAACTTTATTATAAACAATCAATAGTCTACATCATATATTTTGACTACATGAACCTCTCCCCATCTCCCCAGCCACTCCTCCCCCGCCTCCGACAGGCTTCCACATGCAACCAACTGAGAGCTTGCAGCACCAACTGCTCCCCGGCCTCCCCAGCCACTCCCCCCGCCCAGCTTCTGCAAGCAGCCAGCTGAGGGCTACCAGTGAGCGCCTCCCAGCGCTGATTACAGACACGCCTCCCAGGCGCAAAAAACAGACTCTCCAGTTAAACACTGGACACCTGGCAACCCTATTTGGCAGAGGATCCCGCAACCAGGCCGGCGCTAAATAAACCCATGTGTTTAGACCAACGCTGCTCCAGAGAAACAGCTGTGCTCAGAATCCTCGCAGGGTTCCTTGTGCGCAGGAAACTCTTCCTGCCAACAGGCGGCTGGGTCTGGGGAAAGGCATTGCGCTGACCAGACGTTCTCCCCACGCGGATCTAGCCCCGTCAGCCCTTCTTCGGAGTGGGGCTCTCGTTATCTATTGTCTCAGCGGGGGCACCTGGGAGCGCCAATCCCGGAGCAGGATTCTTCTGTGCTTGGCGCTGCACAAACGCGGCACAAAGTCAGTCCCTGAGCTCCCAGGCGGCTGGTGGCAGTAAGGTTTCTAATTTCCGGAGGGGCGTCAGGGGCCCGAATACCTGGGTGGCCTGCGTGGCTATTCACCTGATCTGCAGGCTCAGGCCGGACTCCTGCTGGGTGCACGTTCCCCAGGCAAAGGGCCACTCGAGAGGGGTTAAGCATCACTTAGCTCTGTCTAAAGCCCTATCCCGAGATCGCCAATGGGGCAGTGTTTCTTGTGCCTGCCCTCTGCACAGGGAGGCGCTTCCCTTCCGCCTCGGCCTGCTGTCTTCCCTCAGGGCGTGACAGCAGCATGCGCAGAGGTCCCCACGCCGGCGTTAATCTCACTCGCTCACCCGCCAGCCGCAGGGCAAGGCCACGGCTGGTGGACGCGCCCGCGGGGGCTAGCTCGCTCAGAGCTAGTGTGGGTGGGCGTGTGCTGCAATCACACCCCCGGACTGCACACCAGACATAGCCCGATGCTCTATCAGGGTGGGGAACCTCCGACTTGTGTAGATCCAGCCCCCCAGGCTAGCTCCCGCCCAGCAAAGGGGAGCCGGACCTG